CTGTGCCATGTGCTCTGGGGTGACCCTGCTGGAACAGGGAGGTGGGACCGGATGATCCACTGTGGTGCCTTCCAACCTGAACCATTCTGTGATTCTGTGTGTGAAAACAGTGTACCCCCTTTTCCTAATCAAGTGAACATTTCCTGAAAAGTGCCTAGCATTAGATTGAACTGTGTGAAAATAGTGATCACAGCACCTTTTCTCCCCAGTCTGTATTTTGTCAACACAATCATCTTTAACCACAACAGAAAAATAAGCTAACACTGTTATTTTGCAACATGATTCATTTCCATAATGAAAAATCATTACTATTCTTTGATCTGTAGCATATCTAATAAAATAGCACCTTCTTCAGTAAATGAAATTGGTCACTAAATAAATTTGAATTACTAAGTAAACTTGAATTAGTCTTCCTGCCCATGTGCTCTGAACAACACTCTGTGTATCTGCCCCTCTGCCTTGAACAGACTGTACTGATTCCCCCAGATAGCTCAGGCAGCTCCAGAAGACTTTAGAAATTATGATGTCCTGGCTCACTGCAAAGGTTGTTCACAGCAGTGCCTTCCTCACCAAGAAATTTGTCTTGATTCCTGGGCAGGGCACCACTATTGACATCAGGGTCTCCTCTGCACTAAAGGTTTCATGCTGGAGCTCTCACCTGGACCCAGGACATGCTCTGGGGAAGGGGGACTGGCACTGTGGGGCATTGGCACTGTGAGATCCATGTCTCAGGAATGAAGAATACTAACAGCTGCTGGCATAAAGTGACACAGCCTTGCAGAGCTGCCATGAAAACTGTCATCTCAAGGGCAAAATCTGATGTATTGCAATGAGGTTCATGATAAAAATATAAAGCCTTGCATCATTTCAGCCCCTAAAAAAGGGCCTTGGCCAAGGCAAAGGAATTTTTGCAGGTTGCCAGTAGTGCCTTTTATGTTTACATAGTACACTCTGCATGATCATCATGAACAGAAGAGATATTCCAGAAGTATTTCCCATGGCTCAATACCATGCAATGACCTCTAGATAGGTGTCTGCAGAGCTCCTGTACCCTCCTGGGCCAGACCCTTAGCTGGGCAAACTGGCAAAATGTGGCAAAAAGTGGAGATTTAAAACAGCTGAAGAGCTGCACAGTAATTTCTTGAAGTAAGAAATGATGCCTGTTTCTATTTCTATGGGAAGGAGTAAATTACATCATGGATACACACAGATGCATGGGTGCTAATGCCAACATTTACGTCCTTCATGTGTAACATACAGACCACACTTGTCACACAGAGCTGTCTCTGGATGAGAGCTTAATGTCGAAATAAACAGTGCAAAAATAGGTATTACCTCCAAAATAGCAAGACTTCCCCCAACCTCTTCCCTGTCCAACTTCATGGACTATGCAGTTCCTCAGGGTTCACTACCTCAGCCAGGAGCTCAAAGTCTGGCTGAGTCTGACAGTCTTTCTAAGGCTCATACCTGGACTTCTGTGGAGCCTGACAGGTGCTGAGAGTGCTCCTTAGTTTCTGACACAAAATCAGCACTTCTGTGATGGTGGAACTTCTGATCATGGTGGCCATCCCTTCTCCTGGCTTCTGTGTCAAACAAGACATTGTTTAGCCTCTCCAGATACTTATCCAGCTCTTCCTAGGTGTGCTCCAGTTGTTTGCTGACATTACTGGGGGAAAAGGAAGAGGATGGTGGGGAGAGTTTCCTTTCCCTGTCCTTCCTGGCCTCTTCCACAAGCGGGATTTGCTTCATTAGAACAAGCACGATGATCATCAAGATCAGGCAGAGATACACAAACCCAGACTTCTTCCATCTTGGTGGGGAGGTATCAGGAGCTGGTCGTGCCTGTTGATGCACTCACAGGGAAGAAGCCAAAAATGGACCAAACCCAGCCAGTGGTCAGCACTCCCCAGCTGACAGTGCCCACAGGAGGACTGGTGCCAGTGATCAAACCACTGCGGGAAGGGATGTCAAAGCTGGATTTTCCAAAGCAGCATCTTACAAACCTTCCGTGGTTCTAAACACGAAAGCAGCACAAACAGTGAGCAACAAAAAAATCTTAGGCAGCAGAAAGATACAAGATCATCTCTCACAGCTTCATATGACCTTAAAATAGCAGTATCTCCTCTTTTTCCTGCTATGGAGCTGCAGGTTCAATGCTCCTCATTCTTCAACCTTCCGTTACAGTGTTCCAGTTGTTGTCTTGCTTGAAGTACTAAGTTTTTCTTCTTTCTAATTCAAAGAAAAGATAAATTAGGATTGCAGTTTCCCTCCCCAAATGAAGATAATATTTTATCCTTAAGGGGTGATTAGTTGCTGAGTCCACCCTCAGCACTCTTTAAATTTTAAAGTGAGACAAGGTAATACTGGTCACCTGAGTTACAGGATCAGTAGGACCAACTTGTTGGCTTTCTGTCTTTGCTGGTCTTGGCAGAGGGAGTCCCCCCAGAAGTGGCTGCTGAGATTCTGGAAATGATTCCAGCTGGACTTTGTGGGGATCCCTTGGAGATCCTTTGTGGGCTGCTCCTGGGTAACTCTGCCCCCCAGATTACTCAAAGAGGGGCAGCCCAAGGACCAATAAATGCATTTCCACTGACCCAGCCTAGGAGAGGGGTGGGACAAATGTACTGATTAGTGCCCAGCATCCAGGATAACAGCCAAAACGCCAGCAGGGATGGGAGCAGGGAGGCTGGCCATTCCAATTGGAGGCAGGGTCTGTCTGGAATGGGATTGCTTTTCCTAACCTTTCCTCAGAGGATCTATTTACAGAGGAGGGTGCCAAGCTGCCTCCGTGTGGAAACATTCTTGGCCTCACCCTGCCACAGAAATAATCCTAAAATTCTTCACTTTGCTCCCCAAAGCGAGACATTTCTCCTGCTTTACTGCAGTGAATGGTCTGAGGCAGGTCACAGCGTTCCTTTACCCTGTTACTCATTTTAGAAGCTGCTCCTCAGCTTTTAGTTTTTCAAGATCGATGCTATGAAGCAAGTTTGGCTCTAGAGGCACTGTGGTGCTTCACATTCCCTTTTGCCTTGTCTTTAACTCGCTCCTGAGGTCACAGCCGTGCTGGAAGCTCCCGTAAGCAGTTTGCAGCCTACAAGCCTGGGCCTGGCACTGCTGCCCTACATTTAGGTGGGCAGTCACCAAAGAGATACAGAATCCCAAATCCAGTCACCCTGTTGGCACCAAACTCAAATGCCAGGCACGAAGCTGAGGAGAGGATGCAGAGACAGACAACTGAGCTCGATTTTCTACCAAAACTGAGCTACATTTCCTTAAAGCAAGAACAGTGGAACAGAGATGTCCAGACAGATGAGAATATCTCCCTTCTCCCTCACTGCTGTACATCATTAATTCCTTGGGGCATGGACCAAACCTCCAGCCACAGGTATTACAGTACTAGCAGACCAAAGCCCTGACCCAAACCTGACACTGCTGCAATTAGAGACATTGCTGAAACCCTAATCAGCACTGAAATCCTACAGAAATACTAAAAGGGGAAAACACCACTTAAAAAAAAAAAGTCATTAAGACTGCACTGTGGCCCCTCTAAAGGGAAAAGGATGGATGGAGCAGCCCACAGCACTTCCTAACTCCTATTAACATTGCTTGTTTCCTTTTAAACAAGTGTAACAAACACCGCAGAGATGCTTCAAGCATTGCAAAGCTTAAAAATGAAGTACAGACTGCTGTAGTTTCAGATGCAAAATATCAGTGTTGCCTCTTCAACACAAAATCACTAGTGAAGTAACTTGGGCACATCTGTCAAAAACTCAGGAGGCATCACCTTGGTTATGAAAACAGGGAGTGGACAGAGAGAGGCAAAATGCTTTGTCCAAGATCCCCATGCTGACCTGTGGAACTGACCTGGAATGACACTCAGGGATTTGAGGGATCACACTGATGAACGTTTGCCTTCCCATATACACATATGTAAGTGCTCCAATACCAGAGCACAGGAGAAGGAACATAGGCTGGCTTTGTAGGTCAGTATTATCCAGACCTCTGGAAAACCACAGGAGCTGTTCTCATATCAGAATGCATTTTTCTCTGACCTCTTTTTATCTGAAGATAAACTGCTGGATCAGGTTACACCAAACGCACACCTGACTGGTATCTTTGTTCTAATTGTGAACGCCTAAGGAACAGCATAAGCATGAGGCAATTATATAAGAATGCTTCCCAGAATACTCCTGCAGCCTTCCACAGCAAAGATTTTGTAACATTTTAGCAGCTTTAGCTTTACCTGAGACAGGACAAGGGAAAAAAATAGCCATTTCCCAGACATCTGCTGCACAACCAGCCAGGAAAGCAAACAGCTGTAGTTCCAAGGTCATGTACAAGATGCTCTTTAATCTTAGTAAATGGCATGAAAACACTAAAAGTTTGACAAGGACACAGCTTTTGTATGTTTAATATAAAATCCTGGAAATCAAAACTAAAAAAAACTGTCTAAGGTTGTTCCGCACAGTCAAAGCTGTGTTCCTTGGCAAATAAAATAATAATATGCCAACCTTGATTTCCAGTTTTTACCCACTGACTTCAAGAAGACACAAAGTCAGCTCTGCATATTTTTCCCTCTTGTACATGTTATCCAGGTTCAGTTTCTCAGACGGGAATTCTTTAAAATATTCTTTTAAAATAATAAAAAGAAATATTCTTGCAGATGCCACTGCCTGCGTCAGGGCTTAGTAATAAAATTAATTTTTTGGAGCCAACACCAGGTTTTTTAAAGTCTTTGCCAGCCAGTATTTTCCACCATCTCTCAGCTGCTCTCAGCACTCCCTGGAATCTGCCCACACTCCCATTTCTCACTTCTCACACAGGCTGACTGGACCATAAAAGGGAGGAAAGCACTGCTCCCCAGGGACACCTGATACCACACAGCCTTTTGCAGCACTTCTCTTCCTTCAGCTTTTTTAGGCTTGGTGGGAAGATTTTCTGTAGGAACACAGGAGATGGGTTCAGTGACTGAAGTAGTATGGAAACACTGGAGACACACATTCAAAAAGCCAAAATTTAATACAAATCAAGTGGAAGAGATTCTTTGGGCTCTGACAGTTCATTTCACCACCACCCAAGGTTGGCATGCAGCTGATTTTACCTCTGAGTCACTGGTGGCTGTAACTGGACTACTTACAAAGTAAACTTTATTTAAGAGCTCATGGTACGCCCTTCCTAGCTGGCCAGAACCTGGCTCCAGCAACAAAAACCTTTCCCTGTCTGGAAACAACTGCCCTTACATCCCTAGGCTGGATTAAACCAGCATTTGCAGTGTTATTCTAAGTCTGTACCTGCCACTGAAAGAGATGAATCAGCAAAAATGGTTCTCACTCACTCTCTCCCCAGACCCTGAGCTCCACTCCCTCGATGTCAGTGATGGCATTGCTGGTGTTTGCTGGATGCCAGAAGCTGCATTCACACAGACTCATGGAGTGGAAGCATCCAAATATCCACTGCTGGATCTTCACAGAAGCTGCATCTTCTTTCCAAACCATTCCCCTCTGTGTGCATGGCTGCCTCAGCTGCTAGGAAAGCTCTGCTCTATTTAAAAACCACAGGAGAATGGGAAAATCTCATGGTATAAAAGACAGATTTTACAGTTAATGTAAATTCTACAGGAAGAAAATCAGATCCTTTCACTGCCGACCCTTTCAAAGGTGCCTCTCTACAGTGTGAGCACAGAGGAGCACTACGGTGGCTGAGTCTTGGGGTCATATGGTACTGGGCAGATCTGGTTTAGATTTCTAGATAAAGCATTCTGGAACAGGATCGAGAGACTTACTGATGACATTTCCTACTGCACAGCATCTCTCCACCCTTCTGCAGTTTACAGGGGATCTGGCACAGCGATTTTTTACCACAGTTTTAGTCTAAGACACTTTCCTAGAAGAAATTAAAGCGAAATTCTTCTTTGGAAGCTGTGCCATTGAATAAGCCTGTGTAAAGCGTCCTGGGTGACTCTGAAGGGGATCCTGCTGAACCCTGGCTTTTCCTGCAAGCTCCCGAGCACTTCCGGATGAATTGGCCATTCTTCTTGCGGATGCTTCCCTTCACCTCCACGATCCTGGCAGCCTTTGCAGCTTAAAGAGGGGAGAAAAGAGCCGTTAGAGATGTTTAGTGATCTCACATAGTGAGGCTCCACTCTGCAAAGCAATCCGCAGGGCAGAAGTGAGTCCCTTTCTTCGTCTTCTCCTCACCATGAGAAGTTCTCCTACCTGTTTCCATGAGCTTCAGCTCCCTGCACAGCTCCTCCTGCATCTTCTTCCTGTAGTCTCCAAACATGGCTCTCATGAGCTGCCGCTTCTTCACCAGTGGAGCCTTGTCACTGCGCAGTGTCCTGATGGCCCGGAGAGCCTCTTCAGCTGCAGCAAAGGAGGAACAGCACACAGCTTAAGGCTTCCTGCTGGCTCTGCCCCTGCACTCCTGCCATCCCTTCCCACAAGAGAGAGCTTGCCTTTATTTGAATGCCTACCCTGCTTTGGAGTGGGTTTCTGTGTCTTCAAGCCAAGTTCCAGCTGTTGCACACACCAGTCCAGCTCCTTCTGCAGCTGCTCATCTGACTGCCATCAACGTGGGGCACAGGGAGCAAGAGGAAATAAGCCACCCAAAAATTAAAGCAGCAGTTGCACACGAGATAAAAGGGAACTGCATAAAGTCAGAACTATTCCCAACATCACGTGCTGGTGATCAGTTTACAGACTCCATGACATTTTCCCTCTAGTGTTTTTCATCGGATAAACTAAAAGCACTGCACAAATGTTTAGTTGCAACTCACTGCCTCTATTTGATGGGTTTAATATGTGGCTGCCATTCAGAGGGTGCTGTTTTCTGGAAAGCTGTTCAGTGCCTTTCCTCTGAAAGAAGCTGTCAAATACACTTACAGATGGGAGAAATAAGCATTAACAACAAAAAAACCCTATCACCAGACCTGCATAAAATCAAAAATGTGTACAATGGACAAATAAGTCTTTTTTTCTCAGCTCCTGTGTGCTTGCTAAACCAGAAATACATGAAGAGAAGGAAGCTGAAGCCCATGGAGATGGAGGAAGCCAAGTCCCATCGAGCAAAGCCAGCTGGCTAACTCAGCAGTGGCACAGGAAAACAGGGCTGCACCCTGGGACCGAAGCAATTCATAACTGTTATGTACATGTAAACACAAAAGCCCTCACCTACAACAGTCTCCTTCCAAAGGACTGGATGGGCTTTACCTCACCTTCCAATCTTCCTACCTCTCCTGTACTCAGCAGTGTTTATTGGTAGGATGGAATGTTCCAGAGGTGGGTGAACACTCAGTGCAATTTCCTTGAAGAATATTAAGAAAAGGAAGGTTTTGTGCAATCTTCTATTTCAGTATTGCTCAGCTGGCACTGTTTCTTAATAATACCTACACTGGTGCTGAGAAGTAAAATAAAATGAAGACCCAGACCCTCAGCAGAACAGAAAACCTCAAGGTGTGCCTTAATGGTGTGTTGACACATAACTTGCAACCTCAGTGGATTTCTAGGCCATGCCCTACAGTGGGAACCTTCTAGGAAGCACCTTGAGCTTCACCCCAGACCCCTGGCTACATCAGGTGGCAGCTCTGTGCCTTGGCTTTGCTACTTGCACTATGCGAGCAATTCGTCCCGCCTGGCAACAGGAGCAGGGCCTGGTTCAGCACCCACAGGCACTGACTGAGGGCAGTTACCTCCATTTCTTATTTTCATTTCCTTAAGAAAACATGGCATCCAGCTCCCCAGGATTAGCTGTCACAAGCCTAAACATGAAATGCTTCAGCACAAGTCTGAAGGACCATTAACTCCCTTTCCACTAGTCAGGCTCCTCAGCTGTGTAGCAGAGAAAGCAAACAGCTGCTGGAAGAAGCAAGCAGCAACCCCCGTCTTTCAGCTCTCATGTCAAGGCAGCATGCTAATTGTTCATCTGTGCATAGAGATAAAGTGCCTCTTTAGGTTAAGGGTTTATAAATTATGGGATCTCATCAATATTTAACTACCTGAGAGGTCTTCTCATCCTGATGGGAAGTATTTGTATTTTGACAGCTCTTAGCTTCTGTCTTTGCTTTCCTGCTGGTCTCAGTTTCTTCTCTCTTGTTTTTACTGACTGGTGGTTTTTGTTTCTTCCTCTTTTTCTTCTTCTGGGCAGCTTCAGCTCCTGTTGACTTCACTGTTGCTGCCTCATCTGCAGGAGCAGTCTCTGGTTGGGGGATCTTTGATGGGACATGAATTCTGTCCTCTCTGGGTGCGCTCCCTGCAGCTTGAGTCACCTCGGGCTCCCGCACGGCTGGAGCCCGTGGCAGGGCTGCTGCTCCAGCAGGCAGTGAAGGATCTGTATGCTGGCTTGAGGGAAGTAACTGGAGCTGAGGACAGTCTTCATCTGGGATGGTGAAGTTGAAAGCAAACTTGGGTTCTTGTCCAGAGGCAGCAAACCTCAAGGCTCCATTCCAGCTCTCCTGCTCGGTGGCTGTGACAGCTCTGCTGTCACCAGGGTCTGCTCCTGGGTCGGTCTCAGAAAGTTTAAAATCAAATCGGAAGCTGCTGCCAGATGATGTGAAGAGCTCTGGCTTTGCCTCAGGGCTTGGGTCAGACTGTTTCACACCATCTGCAGCCTGCCCACTGCTTGGCTGTACTTCCAGAGCACCAGGTTTCATGCCTAGAAAAGACAAAGAGTATTGTTACTATCAATACACCAGTTTCCTACCACGGGGATGCCACTGCAGCTCCCTCTCTAAGGCACTGCCCAGAGAGCTGACTCAACCAAAAGCTGCAACCTAAGAAATCTACAGAGAAAAATCAAATCTCACCATCCCCTGAGAGACAGCTCAAGCTCACCTGCTTTCTCCATGCTCTCCTGACCCTCAGCCATGCTGAGATGATAATCCCCAAACACATCACTCATCGCTTGTTGCTTCTTTGCAAGAGGAGTCTCAGGGGAGCGCAGGACCTTGAGAATGTGCTGGGTCTCCTCTACTGCACTCAGAAAAAATCCAAGAGAGACAAGAAATAGGTTATGCTGGGCCTCAGAATCCCCACTGTGGGATGCTGATGACTGAGTCTTCTCTGAACGTGCTCTGTGTTCATATCACCTCTGACTAATCCACAACTGGCATTTGGTTGAAAGGGAACTCCAAGTGCTTCTAGAAGATGAAATACTGTGAAATGTTCTTAGGGGGGAGAATCTAACTGCTTATTACATACAGTCAGACTCTTACACTGCAGTAAGTGCACTGCTAATGGCATGGAAGTTACATAGGGCTCAGCAACCCTCTCCTCAAGGCAAAGACAAATCCCAGGGGCCAGCTCTGTGTCTCTTTTCTGAAAAACTGGAAAAAATCTTATTAGAGAGCACACCCTGAAAAGCAGGACTCTTGCCTGGCTCTCATACAAACCAGCCTGACCACAAGAGGAATCCAAATTTTTTGTGTCAGAGCAAATTCTCTAAAAAGCACCGCTGTTCTGTGACAGTAGTCCCCAAGACCTCAGTGTGGGTACCCTACATACAGTCTTGTAGTGTTTGTCTCACTCATTTCCCACCACAAGACAGCCTGATCTACTGCACTAGTACTGTGGAATGGGCACGTCCCACCTCTCCTGGCTGCAATGCCCGACCACCTCTGGGGGAAGAACCTTTTCCTAATATCCAGCCTAACCCTCCCCTGACACAGCTCCAGTTGTTCCCTCGGGTCCTGTCCCTGGTCACAGAGAGCAGAGATCAGAGCTGTCCCTCCTGAGGAAGCTGCAGACCCTGATTAGGTCTCCCCTCAGTCTCCTCTTTTCCAGCTGAACAGACCAAGGACCCTCAGCAGCTCCTCCTGTGGCATCCCCTCCCGACCCTTCACCATCCTTGTGTCCCTCCTTTGGACACTCTCTAACAGCTTTAGATCTTTTTTATACTGCAGCACCCAAAACTGCCCCAATATTGCAGGTGAGGCTGCCCCAGTGCAGAGCAGAGGGGGACAATCCCCTCCCTCGCCCGGCTGGCAATGCTGGGCCTGATGTCCCCTAGGACACGGTGGGACAGAAGTGGGATGTCTCTTCACAGCACCTGGGTATCAGGGTCCTGAGCACATGTGTATCCCTATTTCAAGGGGTTGGTCTGGTTGCAGTCCAGGATCTCATGCAGACACTGTTGCAGCCAGATAACTCATGGATCCAGATGCCAAATTCCTGGCTGGACCTTGGATCTGCCTCCTCACTGCAGACTCCTTCAGCAGCTGGGACTCCAGGTAGAGCCTGGGTACCATCATCAGGACTGCTCTGCTCTCCTGGCTCAGGCTCTGTGCAAAGGGGCTCCTTTCTGGCCAGGCCACTGCTTCTGCTGCCTCGTCCCTGGGCTCAGCTCCTGCCTCCCCTCCAGGACCTCCCTCCCCTGCTGCTGAGCACTGGGACCAGCACAGGACACAGGTGTAACAAAATGGTCTGATCATAGAATAGTTTGGGTTGGATGGGACAGTAAAGCTCATCCATCCCCTGACATGGGCAGGGACACCTTCAACCACGGTTGCTCCAAGCCCTGTCCAACCTGGCCTTGGACACTTCCAGGGATGGGGCAGCCACAGCTTCTCTGGGCAACCTGTGCCAGGGCCTCACCACCCTCACAGCCAAGAACTTCTTCCCAATATCCCATCTAACCCTGGCAGTGGGAAGCCATTCCCCCTTGTCCTATCACTCCAGGCCCTTGTCCAAAGCCCCTTCTCCAGCTCTCCTGGAGCCCCTTTAGGCACTGGAAGGAGCTCTCAGATCTCCCTGGAACCTTCTCTTCTCCAGGCTGAACACTTCCAGCTCTCCAAGCCTTAATTCTCGGAGCCTGATGCTCAAGCACCATGTGTGGGCACATATTAGTTATTGCTACATCCTCAGGTGAACCAGCAAACACTCACCTGGGCACCTTACAGAGGGTTCACACCCCTCCTCTAAAGGTTAAGTAGTGGCAGGAGCAGGACGTGTGTCTGCATTTCTCTACACGTTGTACTGATAAGATCAATCTGTGACCTTATGAAAAATATTTTATAGGATTTTATTTTCCTTGTAATTTCTCCTTGGAACAAGCTTCACAAAAATAAAAACACCTACTGGTGTTTAAGGGCCAGACACACTGGCACAGTTAAGATGGAGAACAAAGGCAGAGCTGTAGCAGAACCAAACAAGCCATTAGATGAGAAAATGAGAACATGAGAAAGGATACAGAAAACAGGGAGAATGAACACTACAGGAATGAAAGGTAAAGCTGCTTCCAGATAGACAGCTCTTAAAATTCAATGCTTTAAGTTGTTTTGTATTTAGAACAAATCCCAAATGACAAAAGAACAAGGAACAGAAGGGAGAGAAGAAACAGAGAAATGTCCAGATCTGCTAAATCAGACCTGAGGCTGGAATATGGGATGTGTGGGCTGGGAAAGACGAACATACCTGGGTTTGGGGGTGGGGTGAGGTGGAGATCTGCCTCCAGCTGCGAAATGCACCACTTCAGCTCCTCCTGGAACACACCTTGGGGAGCCTTGGACATGGGGTGGGGAAGGAAGAATGTCTAAAAGAAGCACAAATCTCTCGTCTCCAAAACTGATTCCAAACCTGACTTTCTGAAGCCTGAGTTTTCTGAAGCCCTCTCCCCTCTCCCAGATCAGACCTGGCTTTACACTGGAAGGAAGGCGCGCTGTGCAACTGCTCATTTACACCATCAACCAGCACGGGGACACGTGTCCTGTGCGGAGAGCACCAAATGAGCCCTCTGCATTACAAAAATCACAGCAATAAACTCCTACTAGCAGGAACATCCCCCCCCCCCGCGCTCCTGGGAAGCCAGGACTTCCCACAGATTTTTTTTTTCCACTCTTTCTCTCCTCCTATTCCTTTTTAAAGGCCCACCCAAAAAATTTCTCATTTTTTCCTGAAGCTTATTACGGCACAATGTCTCCACGGCAGGAAACTTCCCTCTCACACAGCTCTGACAACACACAGAATTTATCTTTACGCTAAACACAAGCGCCCTGTGCTGTATTTTTACGCCGCCCGCCTCCTGCTAAGCAGGTGGAAGTGAAGGCTTTGCAGCCCGCGGGGGGGGACGGAAGGAATGTTCGGGACAAGGAGGTGAGGAGGGGCTGGGGAGAGCACGGGCGCTGCTTTGAGGAGCACCTTTCGGGGCCCTTACCCGCTCCATGCCGCTCCGCGCCCGGGAGGAAGCGGCCCCGCCGCACCGCCCACCTCCGGTCACGGGCAGCGTGTGGGCTCCGGGCCCAGCTCCGCCCATGCCGGGCGGGCAGCGCCACCCGGAGCTGGGGACGCGCCCGGGGCCTCCCCCGGCTCTCCCCGCCGCGCGAGCCCTCAGCGCTCCGCAGGCCCGTTCCGGCCGTGAGGGACCGGGGGGGTCCCGGCACAGCCCGGCCCGGGGGCGCCCAGCGCCCACCTTGCAGCGCGTTTGTCCCCTCGGGACTGCCCCCGCTCCCCTGAGCCCCACAGGGAGCTGTGGGACACCCGTGTGTGCTCTGCCGGCCCGGGGGTGCCACAGAATCACAGAACGGGCCGAGCTGGAAGAGACTCACAAGGGTCATCGAGCCCAACCCTCAGCCTGCACGGGACCATCCCCAGCAGTCACACCCTGTGCCCCAGAGGATCATCCAAACACTCCTGGAGCTCTGGCAGCCTTGGAGCTGTGCCCACTGCCCTGGGGAGCCTGGTCAGTGCCCAACCACCCTCTGGGGGAAGAACCTTTTCTAATATCCAACCTAAAGCTCCCATGACACAACTCCAGGCCATTCCCTGGGTCCTGTCCCTGGTCCCCCAGAGCAGAGCTCAGTCCCTGCCCCTCCTCTGCCCCTGCCCAGGCAGTTGGAACTGCAGTGAGGTCTCCCCTCAGTCTCCTCTTCTCCAGCTGAACACACCAAGTGCCCTCAGTGTCCTCACACGGCTTCCCTTCAGGGCTCTTCCCCATCTTCGTTGCCCTCCTTTGGACACTCTCTAATGGTTCAATATCTTCCTTCCATCGTGTCCCCCCAAACTGCCCCAATGTTGCAGGTGAGGCCGCCCCAGGGCAGAGCAGAGCGGGACAATCCCCTCCCTGGCCCGGCCGGCGATATTGGGCCTGATGCCCCCCCGGACATGTCTGGCAGTGCCCCCGTCCCTGGGCCAAATCCTGGCAGGAATGCCCACACCAGCCCCTGGCCCTCACACCCCAGCAGGGCACAGGCCATTGCCACCGCACACCTCCAGGGGCAGGGTAGAGCCTGTCGTCAGCAGGCAAAAAGGGTCAATACACACCCACAGGCGCTGTCTAATGCCGTCTCTATTTTAGATTTCCTTTCGATTATTTAATTTTGTAAATAAAAAGTTAGACACCTTGTTTCATATACATTTTTTTCCCCTCGGATTGTTTTCAACAGCCGCCAGAAGATCCCCGCTGAGGCCGGTGCCACGGCAGCCTGCGCGTGTCACAGCACGGGGTGTGATGTCTCTCTCAAATGCTTCAAACCGTGGACATTATAATTTCTGCTGACATTGGCAGCTGATGTTAGAAATTCTCAAAGGCTGCCAGTGATTCCAGCAGGGCTCTAAAATGCTGGGAAAGCACTTCCAAATGTTGCTGTTAAAGGTTATAAAACAGCACTGGAAAAATCAGCACACTTCTGCCAATCCCGACCAGACTCCTATCTGCCTTACAACCTCCATCCTCGCAGAGACTTAGCTATTGTCTAAGTCCTCTCCTCACCACAAAAACCATCTCATTGGTTTGAGCCTTGTCAGAGGTTGTCTAAGACTTATCTCAAGGCTTATTCTGCCCGTAGTAGGTTCAAAATCAGCATCAGTCCTCACATGCAAGTGTCCAAATGTCAGGAAAAGAGCTGACAGTCAAGTATTGGAGAAGATAGTAATGACCACTGAATAATGAGCTATCACAACTGTCTTGAAAGGCCAGAATCCCACGGCGGTCCTCCTCTCCCTCAGTTCCTGAGCTGGACCGGGGGCTCGTGAGCCCATCACCACCAGTTTGGATGCATCCCCTAAAGCAAAAGCTTCCAGTCCATGGCCTGAGGAATGCACAGACCCATCAGGTGATGCAAAGGCCCTACTCGATATGGCTGGCACAGAGCCTGCAGGACCCATCCAGCCAGAGTCAGGGGTGAAAGGAGCATTGCTTTCTGAGGCAGGATACTGTCCGTGTCTCCAGCGCTGTGGACTCAATGCCCATGCAGGGAAAAGGCACAAAGGACCAGCAATGCCTTGGTTTTCCTGGTTTTGATCTCTGCCCTGAGGATTCAGCCCCACAACAGCACTGAGTCGGTGAGCTGTGACAGCCCTACTCTGAGGACACACCACAGAAGGGCTGTCGGGAGACCCAAATGTGATCCTCAGCTTCTGCTGACACAACAGGAACATTGTCATGGGAAGAGCTGCGAGCTGAGCTGGTGGAAGATGATGTCTAACAAGCCATGGCTGCCCAGGAGCAAGGCAAAGAGCAGGCAGAGGAATGGGAATGGCTTGAGCCTGCCTTGGGCATGGGGCAGGTTAGTGTGTGCTGTATAAACAGTGCAAAGGCTGAGACAGCTCCTCACTGCTGTCAGATGGTGACAGGAGCACCTGTCTAGGGGCAGGACAGCTGTGCAGTCCCTCAGGCCACTCCAGGAGTGGAATTCCCTGCCAGCACAGAGCTGCCTGCTTTCCCCACGCCACCAACTGAGCACCAACAAATTTGTGGCAGGCATGGCTGTAACTGGAAGCTGGAAAACGCAGCTCTTTGGTATGAGGCTCCTTTAAGGGAATTGCAGGAAGGAATTGGGATTAAAAAAAAAAGAGAGAGGAGTGGGGTGGTTACCAGAGCTGCTAACCAGTGCCAGGGAGCCTCGGAGGGCACCGGGACAGCCCAGTGTCACATGCCTGACACGTCCTGTCTCCAGACCTCCTGGCCGGCGATGTATGTGGCTTGCACATACAGGTTGTCGTTCAGCATCAGGAAATCTGTGTTGGACAAGAGGGAAAGGAAGCAGCTGTCAGAGGAATGGAGCTGCTAGAGCTGGCTGGGGAGAGCTGAGCTCAGTAGGGAACAGCTTCTCCCCACCCCAGACATAGCAGCAGGAGGGCAGCACGGTGCCACTCTGGCTATGGCAGCTCTGCTCCATGCTTGGCTGAGGCATTGGGGGCACTCCAAAGGGTTTCTCAAACCAAGCATACAAGGGGATAACCACTGGAGTAAAAGCCCAGAGCAAATCCCAGGCAGAGCGAGTCTCCCTGCAGCTCCCAGTGAAACAGGGGATGAAGATGTGCAGCAGTCTCTGCTTTGCTCCAGTGCTCAGGAGCCCTGACATTGTCCCCATACCAACACCTCCTGTCCCCATAACAGTACCTCCTGTCTCCATACAAATAACTCCTGTCCCCATCCCAATACCTGGTGTCCCCATCCCAATACCTGGTGTCCCCATCCCAGTACCTGCATCGGAGTCATAATTCAGTGTCCCCTTGTTGTGTTCAATTCCCAGGAGCTGGGCAGGATGCAGAGATGCTGCCTCCAACGCCGTCTCTACAGAGCACCCTTGCACAGAGAGTTGGGGAGATGTTATGGCAGCCACAGCCCCACTGCCAGAGCAGCCCAAATTCCCCTGGCCAAGGCAACTGTCAGCTGGGCACACCCTCACCACAGCCAGATGGAGCTGGGAAGGGAAATATCCCGACAGGAGATAGCAGGAACAGAAGAACTGAACACCAAGGGTATGGGGAGGGGAAAATCATTCCACCTTTGTGAGGAAGGAGCAGGAGAGTTCACCTCTCATTAGTGCTATGGGTTAAAATGAAACCTCCCCTCAGAAAGGCGCTCATCTGAGGGCACTGATCCCAGCCCCTCTCATGTCTCAGGTGAGAGGGAATATTCCTGGTGGAATGGACAAAGCTGGCAGGAGCAAGACCTCCTCCCACATCAACAGAGGGAGCAACAGCTTGTGGACAAGGCTCCCTTACCTGTGGCCTCTTGGAAGTGTCGCACACACGTATCCATGGTCGCCACGCTACCACTCAGGGTCTTTGTGCCTGGGAGAGGAATAGGATGGCTCTGAGCAGCTCCCACAGCTCACAGCAACGAGAAGGGGGGCAGTAGGGAAGCATAACGAGACCAGAAGGGCAGAAATCATGGGTGGCAGGAGGGGCAAGCCGAAGGGCCCACAGCCACTGCTGCCAAGGGACAGACTGAGGCAAGGGAGAGGTGCTGGCAGGGCAGGGAGAGGTACTGGGGTGTCACCCCCCAGCTCCACCACCAGACCAGCTGGACTGGGTGAAACCAGCTCACAATGCAGGTACCTGCTGCCAGAGGTGAATGGATCCTTCTCTGAAATACCAGTCTCTAACTGCTTGGGAATTGAAACTTAGGGAATTTAGTTAGCAAGAAATGGTAGTGATGCAATAAAGAAAAGGGACAATAAATATATCTTAAGATTTCTCTGTCCTTTCTGACTCTCTGCACACATGACACTGGGCAATGAGGCTTTCAAAGGTGTTGCAGACAGCTACAAATGGACAGATTCCTCCCCACTCCACAGAGGTAGGGCACTTCCCCTCCTTACCAGGCACCTCATTCTCCCCAGGGCCAAGTCAGTGCAGATCCACGAGGCACCAAAACCCGAGAGGGTGGCACAAGCGCTGCCTCACACTGGCAGGGCCAGCCAGCTGTGCTGAGCTCCTCAGGAACGGGCACCAGTGGCAGTGCTGTCCCCAGCTCTCCAGCAAGAGGCCCTTACCTGCGATGTAGGTGTTCAGCCCATCAATCTCCACCACCTGCTGCCCCAGCGTGTGCCGCCCCGGTGCCAGCCCCATGCCAGCAATCGCATCTGTCACCAGCACCAGGCCTGAGCAACACAAGCAAAGGGGCCCTGTCAGCTTTGCAGCTGATTTTGCTGCAGCTCTGAGCACTGTGCCCTGCTGGCCCTCCCAGAGAGGGGCCATGGTGTCTCCAGCCACATCCCACCAAAGTGAGAGGGTATCAGCACACGTGGCTGTGACCTCCCAGGCAGCGAGGGCAGCACAAGTGTCTTGTGGGAGGTGGCCCAGTGCTTGGAGGGGCTGGTGACACTGGTGTGGCTCACCTGTGGGGTGGGCTCGGTGGGCGATCCGCAGGGCGGCAGGGTTGGTGTGGATGCCATCGGAGATCATCCCGTAGAAGACCCTCCGCCCAGCAGGAATCTTGTCACTGGTCAGCAGCCCCACGATTCCAGGGTCACGGTGGTGGAACTGCCCGAGGGGAGAGAGGGGACAAGCTGTGGAGCAACACCAGGACCTACTGGCTGAGACCCTTCCCCTCAGGGGATGCAGCTGTCATTTCTATCATACAGTGCCTGGGAGCTTTACCAGGCAAATCTGGGCATTGCCTTGAGTCACAGATCACAGGGGGGTTTGAGTTGGGAGGGATCCTAAAGCCCATCTTATTCCAATCCCCCTGACATGGGCAGGGACACATTCCAGTAGACCAGGTTGCTCCAAGCCCTGTCCAACCTGGCCTTGGACACTTCCAGGGATCCAGGGGCAGCCACAGCTTCTCTGGGCAACCTGTGCAAGGGCCTCATCACCCTCACAGCCAGGAATTCCTTCCCAATATCCCATCTAACCCTACCCTCTGACAATGGGAAGCCATTCCCCCCTGCCCTGTCCCTCCATCCTTTGTCCTAAGTCCCTCTCCAGCTCTCCTGGAGCCCCTTTAGGCACTGGAAGGGGCTCTCAGGTCTCCCTGGAGCCTTCTCTTCTCCAGGTGAACCCCCCCAGCTCTCCCAGCCTGGCTCCAGAGCAGAG